GTTTGAAAGATAGTGTAAGGAATCAAAGATGTGGTCGCTATGGAGACGGCTTTGGGATAGATTTGTATTCTGTGGCTGAATATTCTGTGGCATATATTCATGTGATTCTGTAGGCGACGACTGAATGCCACACAACACATATGCCCAACACTACCAGTAATTTATGATACAAGTGCTCCCAATGAAAGTGTTTGTGCCCTATATTAATATCATGTCGACTACGAAACAAAGTTATCACTTGTTTGGCGATTAAGTGTTGAATAACTGATTTTCATAATTAGATATGAAAACGATGGCCGAAACGAACATAAGCGACAGAAATGTGGAGAAGCCGTCGACTAGTAGTGAACCCCAGAAGCCGAGGGGCACTAAACGGGAGGACTCGCTGAGTGTAGTGGGCGTAGAGCTGATTGACTCGATGGCCACCAACCCATTCGTGGACCGGGTGTTCAAAGCGGCCATAACTATGGTGTTGTTTCTAGTGCTTAGTGGTGTGCTGTGGTGTGTCTCCAAAATACAGACCAGTTTCAGTGACCTCTTGGAGCAAATAGCGGTCACTGTATTCATACTAACACTTGTGGTGTTCGCGGTGTCCGGACTGGTGTTCATGTGCTCTATACTACTCATCAGCACTAATGATAGACAGACGACCACTGAAGTGAAAAATAACATCAATAATAATATCGGAGATAATAATGTATAGAATCAGTGCAAACACACCGATCCCTTCACTGTGTTTGAGAAATATATATATAAATGTTGTTTTCATTGAATTAATTATTTATGATATTTCTACTCACAAGTGGCCGATGTTTTAGTGCAAACATTTCGGGGTTCAATTAAAACGGTGTTTTCAATGAGAATTAAATTCTTGTCTAACATTAAGTCAATATAAACCGTAAATATAAGTATGTTTTCTGTGTTTATTTCGATTTTATTTCATTTAAAAGCATTTTCTAATTAATTTTTCATTGAAAATCGTAAACTTTTATTTGATTGTATAAAACACTTTATTTAAAAACTAAAATCATCTTGTTTTTTAATGGATATTATTTTCCAAAAAATAAAATTCAATTGATGTACAGTAAGTCTGAATGTAATAATAAAGTTTTTCAGTACAAGTTACTAATTCATGTATATTATTATTTGATTCTTTTACATTAAAGAATATACTGTATATCAATATATAATTCAATTCAACAAAAAATATTTAATAATAAAGCGAAAGTATTTGTGAACAACTTTTAATATAACATTTGAGAAATGAAAAACAAGTTATTGACTTAAGAAAACTGAGAAATTAAATTTGATTTCACAATAATGTCGGTAAAAATCTATTACTAAATACAAACACATTTTTTCTGGAAAATGGTGTGAAAATAAAATTTTGTATTGAAAATTCAGTCAAATATTGTTTTGATAATCCTTTTTTTAAAGAAACAGATGAAAAGATAAAAAGATTAATTTTATTTGTAAACATCCAGAAGCAATATACAGTTTCTCTCAAAGAATTTTCTCCCAAAAGGCAATAAAATTTTGTCACCAAATATAGCATTTAATTAAATTCAAGTCTTACTTATCACGCGAAACAAAAATTTGTGATTTGAGTTTCATTTCTCAATTTTCTTTCTTTCATTTAAAAAATTCAATTTAATCTTAAAAATAATTAGAAAACTATTTTATATGAAGAAATCAAATCGTTTCCTCAAATCATTGGTTCAATTGTGTGTTGAAAATGACTTTCAACTAGAAATCAAATACAAATATTTGTTCATTAAATTTCATGCAAACTCAAATAGTATATAGTTCACATAAAAAACACATACTGTACAATGTGCTTTCTATTTAATATTTGTTTTGGTATTGAGTTTTATTTATTTGTGTTCAAATTTTAACATATTTATTGATATTTTTCTTTAAAATATTATAATTCATGGAAAATTGTTGTCANATGGAAAATTGTTGTCATTTTCTGATGTTTCCTGTAATTCATACCGCAATTTGGTTTCCTATTACTCGTATCTAAAAATAATCTATTATTCAAAAAGCCTTGTTTTCATATACCGTAGATACAGTAGAGCAATACAATTAAAACATATTTAACTTGTGTATTTTTATCTCATTTTAATTAAAGATTTGTTATATGTTTTACAATTCATTTAAATTATAAACCCCTTAACACATTGACATTTTCTATATTATGTTACATTAATAATTATCATCAAATCTAATGTGTAACATAAATAAATATAATTAAGTTTGATGTTTTATCATATCATTAATTATAATATTCGACACAGTAATCCAGTGCTCAGTGGTTGTAAATATATTACATTTTCTCGACATATGGTATTATAAATTGAATAGAAATTTGTGTTTCTAATAGTACTGAATATATTTCATTATCCTCTTCGCGTACTATAACTTATTCTTATGAATCTTGATGAAATTACAAACAAATTATTAATATATTTATTGTAATTTTCTTATTTTTTGACATAATTCTCTAAGTAATTAAATTGAATTATATTTATAAATAAATGGCAAGTAATGACACATCAAGACTCCTTCCTATTTATAATAAACATCAAAAGTTTTAATTAAATACTTCCAAGAATATTTGAAAATAAAATTATTGATTTTCTATAACTTTTTATTATATAAATATTTTTTACTATATTTATCCAAAAATATGATATGTAAAATATGGCTTAATTGTATTTAGATAGTTATATCGTAAAACTTTATAATATTGAATACCGGTAATAAATCACTAGAAATATAATTTTTATATCACATTCATAAACACATAAATAAAGAAGACTTTATTTGTGATCAAAAATAAAATATAAATCATGTGGTTATCAATTGAAAACATGAATAATATCTAGATTCTAAGAAATATATCGATTAAACACTAAACCTGTATTCAGAGAGACAGGTGCTATTTATTTATAAATTGTTACATTAAATTCACAAAATAATCATTATATTTAAATGAATATCTAGGAGATATAAACAAAATACTGTACGGTATATGTTTATTTGCTTTTTACAATTAAATCAAAACTGGTACAGCACTCAGAGAATTGTATTCATATTTCACGTAAACTCAAAGGGAATTACTTTTGAAATATATATTTAAATATAATTTATATATTCATTGAAGAATAAACATTAGATTTATTTGAGAATTACTCTGAAAACAAATTTTTAGCTCTCATTTAAACAAATATAACAAAACCTGTGTGCTAGCCGACACTTAAAATGTTATCTTTTTTTTTGCTAATTTACAAAAATATTTATTATTAAGAAATGCAATTATAGGTTAAGAGACAAACATTTTTATTCTGTAAACACATAAATGATTAATTACTAGGCAGTCTGCTTAAACTTATATTTATTTTGCTTTAAATTTAAATTAAAGCCAAGCACATTAATATTTAATTTTCATATAATATTACAGAGTATTTACAGAATCTGCTAATTGCAGAATCTCCTCAAAAATATTTGTATTACATTAGATTTATTCACACAACAAAATATACTATTTATGTTAAAAACAACAAAAATTCTATATTGGTATAATAATTATTTATAATAGTAATAGAAGTTTGCTTATATAATATATTTAATATTTAAATGCAAATATTTGTTGTGCCATTATTGAGATTTAAAAGACCTTTTGACATAACATTATAAGCTATGATCGGGAAAAGCGCTGAAATGAAAACAAATGTGATTTAAGGGCTGACATGAAAATAATTTTCTCGGAAAACTATGTTCACTTCACTGTGACTTTTGCCGTTATATCCACTGATGGCTAACAAATGACAGCACTTTGAGCTCAAAATCATCTTCTTTTATGTGGTATTCCCTGAGAAAGCCTTCATATATTCTATACATTATTCACCAAATGGACACTTAATACAGGGCTTCACTCGACTTTTGCAGGCAATTCAATGTATTTTTGAGTTTGTTGTTAGTTTTATAGCAAACGATTAATTATAGACATAAGCTTTTCATGAATTATCTATAATATCGAAAAAACAACTTTTATGATATTATTTAAGAATTTCAATTAATTATTAAAATACTCAATATTCGGTGCAAATCAACGCAACACCACATTTAAATCCAATACAATGAATACAACGAGTGATTGAGTTTAATTAAATTAAAGTTTTGAATGGGGAATGGGATGTAAGGAATGGTTGGCTGAGTAAACAAAACACTTGGGATGCGCTCTAATCTAATAAAGTCATCTCATATGATACAAGTGATTACTTATGACATAATGTGCTAATGTATTACACGTTTGACGTAAAGGTTTATTAATTAAACCCAAGGAATCATTGGCTAAAGAATCATAAAGTGATGGATAGAGTTGACAAAAGTCTAATATTTAAATCAATTTATATGGTTAGGGAAATCTGACAAAAATCTTATATATATTATCTATATTTTAACACCACATTCACGGTATACATACAGAATTTTAATATTCTCGCTGAATATTAATAACTTATTAATAATAAGTATTTTTTAATTGAATCACTATATTACAACCAAAAATGTTTGATTAATTAAATATAAAGAGTTTGTTAAGATTTAATTAAAATGATGTAAATTTTAATCTCGCATAATACATAAGCCATAATCCAGTGAATTGAATGAGATTTTCAATAGAAAGAAGTCCTCCGATGTTATGAAAGTCTAAAATAGCTGTTCATATGAAGACACCGACCGTTCATAATGAGGGCCGGCAGCTGGTGTTGGACTGCGATAAGCAAAATTGAAAGCCAATCGTTTTGAATACATTTTGACGTAAACGCAGAAAAACAGGTTTTAATGATTTTTTTGTAGTTTACGGTCAGAGACACGACTGCATAATATTTGACAAAAATTTTTTTCCAAGATCAATACTCATATAAAACGAAAATAGAGTCAAAAATCATCTATTTTATGAGTTTTTCTGCGAATAAGTCAGTAATGGATTGACGAGAAAAAAGACAAAATGTTTGTTTGAAACGGAAAAGCCATTAGAGTTTAAGACGTAAAGCCTAAAGTGAAACTACCGTTAGTTTTAGTGATAAAAACGAAATATTGTTTTCAATTTGTATTATTAGAAAAACTAAGTGTTGAATATAACTGTTATGATTGTGTTCCCACTTATGGTATATTACTTTATTGCTATTATTGCCCATTGAAAACATCTACGGATATAATGTCTTTTAAAATATATTTCATATCAACTCTTATTATAAGTTTATTGATGCTATACATCGAGACAATTAATAAAGTGCTAGCATTTCTGGGCACTACTCTAATCGTATCCATAATTGTTTGGAAAGTGAGTGAAATAATTAAGAAATATTTACGACAAAAACGTGTGATTAGTCCAAATGGTAAGGCAGTGATCATAACTGGTTGTGACACTGGCTTTGGTAATGGACTGGCGTTTGAATTGAATGCATTGGGTTTCTATACGATCGCCTTATGTCTGGATGCAAAGGGCGATGGGGTCAAGCAATTGACAAATAAAGCTATTTTTGCCAACAAATTCATTACTTTAGAGCTCGACATCACTCAAGAATCGCAAATTGATAAGACTTTTGACGAGATTTCGCATCTTCTGCGAGATAATGGCCTCAAACTGTGGGCACTCGTCAACAACGCCGGCATTTTTGACGCCGGGTATGTCGAGTGGGGTAATGGTGTGGAGGCCTACCAGCGCCTACTGGATGTGAATACATTGGGCACTATTCGGATGACCAGAAAATATTTGCCACTTTTGCGCGAAACGGGCGGACGAGTGGTGAATGTGCTGAGCGTTGCCGCGCGACTGGCCATCGATGGCTACAGCGCTTACTGTGTCTCAAAACACGCTTCCCTTGCCTT